ATACGAACGGGTAGGCAAAAACGGTGATAAATCCGATGTCAAATAAAGAAGTTACGACCAAAAAGATAATATGTACTATTATTAGGTGGCACTAGAGTAACCCAAAACTATTTACTGAGGTGCAAGAGGTTCAAACCACTGACCTCGGTTCAGCAATAGAAGCATTTTACCATCAGACTACTTAGTCGAATGACATCAGAAGTGCGTGCAACATTTATTAATACTGTCTAGGCGAGTCTTCCTTCCATAATGCATTCCAGTAGATGCGAGCTGTAAAGACTGGGTGCATTATTTTCCCGACAACTTCTTGTGCTGGGATAAGGACGGGCCACTTATCTTCTTATCGGTAAGATGATGAGAAAACATTTATCTGTTTATTAAATGTAGAATATAGGTGAGTTCCATCGGTTTCTCATTTTCGCAACCGAGAGAAAGAAGGAAAGGGAGGAGAGGGAAAACAGAAGGAAAGAAAGGAGTTCATACATTCTGGAGTTGGAGGACACGCAAGAGAAGTACGGAGGACAGTTTTATGGATCCAAAATCTTCGTTAGAAGCCTCGTCGGAGCTTCACCGGAGTTACGTCGGAGGGTCGCCGGAAAAACCTGAAAAATGAACTTCAACCATACTTCGAAAGATGGGTATGGTTGTGAAGAGGGAGACCTCAAGAGCGTGCACGTTTCGACGAAACTTGTTTTCGACGTCGGACGAGCAAGAACCGATATCCACAAGTTTGCGACGCAAAACTGCCGTTTTACAAAAACCATGTATCATTTCTGGGTGTTCGAAAATGTAGAGGACCTCTCTGTAATTTTCCCACAGAGACGGGTCAACACCTTTTAGTTGACTGGTAAACTTCGTATTTAGTCCCTGGTACTTGGAGTACTAACGGAATTCGTATTTCGTTCATAATTCGTTCGTTTGACGTCCAAACGACAAACCGTTTTCACCTACAGGATCGTGAGAACGAGGAGAATATTTTTAAACCAAGATCTGCAATTTTCAGAGCTTTCACAGAATCGGATTTCTCCATAATAAGGTGTGTGGGCTTACGGTAAAAGGGAACCGGAATTACGTGTTTATTTTTAAATACGCATGATTGAGTTGATGATTAATGATTATGATGGATTTGTGATTGATTAATGATTGTGATCTTGGATGAAATTGTTTATGAAGTTAACTGATATTTATGGTAATAATTATTATTAATTCCGTATTCGAATTGTTGACGTATATGGTGAACTCCGAATATTTTCTGAATATGTCTATTGAGATCAGAATGAGGAAAGTAAATTTAAGGAGTTTTGAAATGGTTTTTAGTCATGAGATCTTACCATGAGAATGATATTATTGGTAATAATTGAGTTTTAGGAATTAATTGAAGTTATGACGTTAAAAGAGTGAAATTGAGAATTAATAAATTGGATGAGTATATGAGAGGTGAATTCTGGTTAGAATAATTAAAATAAAGAATTGATGAACTTTGTTGGATTTCTGGATGGGTGAAACCAATTTTTATGTCATTTTGTTATTAAAGAGATTATATTATGATTTTTAGAATAATGGCAATGTAAGGAAAAATTATTATAAACTGAATATGATGGTAAGATGATTATCACGAGTTATTTTAATTAAGATTGAAGTTAAGTTACATTTTAAGACTAATTTTTAGTAATAGTTAATTGAGTATTTAATTGAAATATTGAAGATAATCTTATTAATGTATTTTGAGGAACGATGCTGTAGATTGTATTTTACAAAATAATTATTGAGAGATGTGTTATTAAGGGAGACCTTTTCAAAATAACTTTTGATAATCATGAGAATTATATATTGGGTATGGTCCTTTTTAGAATGGTTTCAACTTATTAATATGAATTCATGAAAACAAGATTTTGATAGTAATATGTTTAGTTGATATGTTGATGAAATTAGTTAAAGAACGATATGGATAATTTGATGTATTTTTATTGTTATTATATGGTTCGTATGATAAAATGATTTGATGACGAATAAAATATATATTGATTATTGATATGTATGATTATGGCATGATGATGATGATGACAGGGATATTGAGTGATAGTGATATGATTGACGTGTATGAGTATGACGTGATTAGAATATCGATTGGTTTAAATGTGATTGGTAAATATAAATATTACTGAGATATTTTGTGACAATGTTGATATGATGAATTCTTTGATTAATGATGACGTGGATGAGATATTATCATGATCGATTTGTATTTGATGTGTTAAATGATTACGATGAGTGAATGAGGTATTGATAAATTGAGTACTTGGTAGATTTGTCAAGTTTGATTGAAGATAATGAATTATTTATATCATTGAGAAGATGTTGATTATATTGAGATCATGCAATGCATCAAAGTATGCATAGATGATGTGAGATATGTATGGACTGGGAATATCAATGGGACGCTGTTGATTTCTTGGATCGATTGAGATATGATGGAAGAGAGAAATTGATATTGTTTGATCATGTTAAATCACATAGACATAGATGGGCCTATGCCTACCCCTATGAGATTGATTGGGTTGCGGTCCTAATGAGAGGATTTATGATAATACTAGATTTGATGAGATTGTGGTTTTCATTATAACCACTAAGATGATGAGCTCGAGCGGGGTGGGCGTATGGTGACCTTAGCGCGCAAATTAATAATAAATGGAGAGTCTGCATTTCATTCATTGCATATGATATATATGATGTTGATGATTTCCATGAAGGAAATCGTAAAGTGACATTTGATTGATGATTGATTGAGAGATTGATATGGTTGCGCCGAAATGGCGATTTGATTATTGATGAATGATTGACATGCCTGATGATTAAATGATGAGTTGACTTTGAATGAACGATTGATATGATGGATTCATGAGTTGAGGTAAGTTTATGATTTTATTTCGATATACGACTTGATTAATGAAAGTCATACCATGAGGAATTGGGTTAAAGATGAATTTGGATTGATGACCTAGAGATTAATGAGATTTTCGTGTGGCATGATAATTTGTTGATGATGTGTTTTTAATCAACAAGATGTGATGATGTGATGGCATGCGAACAATAGTTTTGTCGTATAGGCCAGGTCCACACACTCAGCTTAGTAGCTGACCCAATTTTCTTTCTAGATGTGACAGGTGTGATAAATTGAGGATGACTTTGGCACTGCACAATGATCGATGGAGGATTTTGGTTTAAAAGGTTTTTCACATATCGATGTACTATGAAATCCTTATTTTTACGATTCGGGTTTTGAGCATGCATGATAGTTTACAATGGTCAAGTATGATCATTAACTTGAGTTGAGTATGAAGGGAGTAGATAAGATTGATAGTATGGGTTCAGTGAACCCTGAATTTGACGAAGATGGATTAATGAATTGAGAATATGATTTTTAGTAAATTGTTATGATGAGTTGAATTTTCAACCTATGAGAATGATGTGGATGTGAGTTGAGTCGAGATTTTGAAAACGTAAACCCTGAGTGATTTCCGCTGCGCGGTTGAACGATTGGTTCGACCCATGATTTTAGGGTGGGGTGTTACATTTGTATCTTGAGCTACTGCACCAGAAAACCTATTGCTTGATCCTTCTCTATCCTGTCTCTTCTTCTTAAGTCTCCAATAGTCTTTGATCACATGATTTGTCTTCTTGCAGTAGTTGCAAAACAGCTGGTCAGTCTCACCACTTCCTTTGTAAGTACCAGTTTCTCCACTTCCTTTGTATGGACTCTTAGATGTTGTGCTAGAATTTGTAGATCCAGTTCCACTGTGAGAACTGGCTGCCAGAGCAACTGATTGAGTTGTTGCCTTGTTACCTGATCCCTTTCCATCTGCCTTAAGCTTTTGTTCATGTTGTAACAAGTCATGGAAAGCTTGCACCACTGTTGGCAAAGGCCTATGCATTAACTGCTGTGTCCTGATGTAATCATATTCAGGATTCAACCCTCGTAGGAATCGAATTAGATAGTCTGTGTTCTTCTTCAACTTAAATGCCTCAACAGCAGCACTAGGTAAAGGATTCCTAGGTAAACAACCACAAGGCACAATAGGATTAAACTGACTATACTCTTCCCAAAGACCCTTCATATGAGTATAGTACTGGGTAATGCTCTGAGTTCCTTGTTTGGTAGCATGAATTTCATCTTCGAGATTAGTAAGCTTCTGTGCATCAGCCTGACCATAACGATCCTTAAGCTCATTCCACAAAGCACGAGCATTATCATGACTGAGAACACTTCTTGCAATGTCTTTCTATTGAGAGTTAGTAATCCAACATAGCACAATCGTATTACAAGCATCCCAGATCTGAAATAGATTATCATTTCTGTTTGGAGCAACGATCGACCCATCTATAAAGCCTAGCTTGTTCTGAGTCTTAAGAACCACCTTCACTGCCTTAGACCAGGTCTGATAGTTTGGACCATCTAAAACAATGGGCACTATAGATTGAGCCAAATTCTCATTAGGTTTTACATAGAATGGGTTACCGAAACTCAGATCTGCAGCTCGGTTGTTGTTGCCTTGATTGTTCGTCGGTTGGCCTTGGAAAGATCCAAAGTTCATCGGCGGAGTGTTGGGTGGAGTGTTGGTACCTCCACTTGTTATGCCTGACATGATCCCTTAGATCTGCTCTGATACCATGGAACTTTCTAAGGAAGGGTTTGATTGAGCAGAAAAGTAAAGGAGGAAGAAGAAGATGGGAATTCCTCAGCTTGTCTCGTGCTGGGATTCTTTGATTTATAGCATTCCAGATTTACTGTAACTTAACGGTAACAAAGCCAGGTGTCAAACTTCTATTGTTCTGTAAATAACTAACAACTACTCAAATGCCAAACGCTGCGTTCAGCCACCACGTTTCCAACATGAAACGTTTCTTCTCGAATTAGTCTTCAACTCCAACGTTCTTCTTCTCCAACCATCAGCTGCTGCTTTCCTCTGGACTTCTGCATCTCTTCTTCTCGTTGATTCAAATCAACTACTCCCTTGAACTTCATCATGACTCGGTAATGTGATACTGAGAGTGCGTATTGTTCTTGTACTGGGTTTACCTTCTTTCGGAAAGTGATTAAGCAGCGGCCGTGGGGACCCGTGAGACGAGCTCGTCTCTGTCCCGGGCGTCGAGCTCGCACGAGTCAACTCGGAAGACCAACTCGCCGTTGCTGCAATCGTACACGGTGAATCCTTCATTGGCATAGAGCAACGAGGTTTCGAAAATGGTGAAATTCTTCTCTTCCTAATTCACGAATCCCCCGTTGTCAGTAATTCCTCTGTTTATTTCCTTCATTCGTGGATGGAGATCGGAGCAATTGGCCGGGGTTTAAAAATAGGACGGAGCCGGCCGAGATTGGGAGAGATGTATAGAAAGAGAGAATGCGGAGGGAAGGAATGTTGAGAAATGTGAATAGTTTGTAAAGGAAAGTCCTTGAAAACTAAAGGAATGTCCTTGATAAAAGGTAAGTGAAGTTAATTCGGATTAATTCTCTATATTGAAGGAAACGTTTCTTCAATCAGAATTAGCTGACCGAATTAACGGAAATTTCAATCAATTTGATTGATTTTTCATATTGAAGGAATCTTTCATGATCAGATCAATTACCCATATTAACGAAAATTTTCAATCAATCGGATTGATTTCTGGTATTAAATGAAACTTTTATCAATCGGGTTAATTGTCTGCATTTAAGGAAGGTCTAATTAGGAGTTATTACTCTTGATTTCCTTCCTTAAGAAGATTCTCAAATCCTCGACCAAGAGGGGAAGGCTGAAGGTCTCAACCAATATAAACAGATGAGTTGCCTAACCCTAAAAAGGTAGAACAACGAGCATAAACACAATAGAGAGAGTGTTCAGAGAACTCGGGTTTTCGCACAAAACCGCGAGTATTGAGAGGAGCTGTTTTATCCTGCAGACTATCGGTTGATAGTCTGCCGTGCGCATCGAAGGCAGTGCCGCGAACGTCTTAAACAGAGCGACCTAGTCCGCGACTCAGCTCCAGATTCGGTAACCTTGTTCTTGTTGTTGTTCCGTTTCTAACAATTTTAAGACGTTTGGCTGCTGCTATGTCAACTGAACAGAACAACATGGCTGGATCTGGTGCTGTCGATATCAATCGACCCTTCCACTTTGTTAGAGTCAACTTCCGTCGCTGGAGACAAAAGATGGAGTTCTACGTAACGACCAAGAAGTTGGCACACTGCCTCACCAGCATGCCTGTCGAGCTGCCGGAAGAAGCGACCGCTGAGGAGAGGGCTGCTTCTGCTAAGGAAAGGGAGCATGACTTCCTGTGCAAGAACTACATCCTCAACGGCCTGGCAGACGATCTCTACGACTACTATGGAGACAGCAAGAACACCGCGATGATGATCTGGGATGCGCTCCAAAAGAAGTACGACACGGAGGAGGCTGGAGCTAAGAAGTATGTTGTCAGCCGCTACCTGCGCTACCAGATGGTGGATGACAAGTCTGTCGAAGTTCAGTCCCACGAACTTCAGAATATAGCTCATGAGATCGTCTCTGAAGGTATGCCTCTGGACGATCAATTTCAAGTTGCTTGCATTATTGATAAGTTGCCCCCTTCGTGGAAAGATTTTAAGAATATGCTTAGTCATAAAACCAAAGAATTTTTACTGGAAAGCTTGATTACTCGCCTAAGGATTGAGGAAGAGTCCCGCAAGCAGGATATGAAAGAAGAGGTGATGGTCGTCACTGCTAAACGACCCACCCCTAGAGCTCTTAAACCTAACCAGAAAGGGTTTAAGAGTAAGAACCAGCAGGTCCGCCCCCACCAGAATGGTGCCTCTCGAGGTAACCAAAGGCTCATGGCCCAAACCTCTAAGAATGACCCACCGTTTATCTGCTATAACTGCGGAAAACCGGGTCATATGGCAAAAAAGTGTCGGAACAAGCAAAACCCTGCCGCTGCGGCCAGGGTTAACTTGACATAAGAGGATTCGATAGCCATGATCACGGATATGATCGCTGAAGTTAACCTCACTGGTGACTCGGAAGGATGGTGGCTGGATACAGGTGCATCGAAGCATGTATGTAACAATTGTGCTATATTTAGAACATACACAGAAGCACCTGCTGACAAGAATGTGTTGTTGGGGACTACTCACACCACTATGGTTGCTGGTTCTGGTGAAGTGGAGCTGAACTTCACCTCTGGGAAGAAGATGGTGCTCAAGGATGTGTTGCACAGTCCAGAGATAAGAAAGAATCTTGTTTCGGGATATCTTCTTAATAAGGCTGGGTTTAATCAATCTATTGGGGCAGACTTGTATACCCTTACTAAGAATGGGAGTTTTGTGGGAAAGGGATATGCATGTAATGGGATGTTCAAGTTGAATGTCGAAATTAATAAGATGAATTCTTCAGTTTACATGGTGTGTGATTTGAATGTTTGGCATGCTCGTCTTTGTCATGTGAACACACGAATTGTGAAGAATTTAAGCAAGCTAGGACATATCCCTAAACTCTCAATGAATGAATTTGATAAATGTGATTTCTGTAGCCAGGCTAAAATAACGAAAACGCCCCATAAATTTGTGAGTAGAGAATCAGAACCCTTAGATCTGATTCATTCTGATATTTGTGAACTAGATGGGACGTTAACTAGGTCTTGCAAGAGATACTTTATCACTTTCATAGATGATTGCTCTGATTATTGCTTTGTTTATTTGATGAAAAACAAAAGTGAAGCCCTTGACATGTTCAAGGTATTTGTGGTTGAATTAGAAAATCAGTGCAATCGAAAGATAAAAAGACTTAGGAGTGATAGAGGATCAGAGTATGACTCTAATCCCTTCAAGGAAATCTATAGCTCACATGGTATCATTCATGAAACCACGACACCATATTCACCAGAAATGAATGGTAAAGCTGAGTGGAAAAATAGGACGTTTACAGAATTAGTTGTGGCTATTATGCTCAATTCTGGAGCTGCCTCTTCTTGGTGGGGTGATATTTTGTTGACGGTTTGCTATGTGCTAAATCGTCTTCCAAAGACAAATAGAAAGGAATAAACCTATGAGATCGTGAAGAATAAGCTACCTAATCTATCCTATTTAAGAACGTGGGGTTGTTTGGCCTACGTAAGAATTCCGGATCCTAAGAGGATTAATTTGGCAAGTCGAGCGTATGAGTGTGTCTTCGTTGGCTATGCGGCCAATAGTAAGGCATATAGATTCTATGATTTGAATGCCCGTACTAGTAGAATCCATTGATGCTGATTTCTTTGAGACACGATTTCCATTTAAAACAAGAAATAGTGGGGGTAATGTACTGCCCGCTATTAGAGAAAACAGAACTAGTGGGGGTGTTGGTTCTGAGGATGAAATCAGAACAAGTAAAAGAGCTAGAAACTGTAAAGATTTTGGTGATGACTTTACTACAGTATACACCCTCGAATATCCAAAAACTTTGCAGGAAGCATTAACTTCCATAGATGCAGATTTTTGGAATGAGGCCGTTATAGATGAAATGGAATCGTTAGAAGCTAATAAGACTGGCATCTAACAGACTTACCTCCTGGCTGCAAAGTCTTAGGTATTAAATGGGTTCTAAAAACTAAACGGAAACCTGATGGTGCAATCGAAAGGTTCCGAGATCTCCTAGTAGTTAAGGGCTACAGGCAGAGAGAATATAGATTTCTTCGATACCTATTCACCAGTATCAAGAATAACATCCATTCGTGTAATGATTGCTCTTGCTGCCTTGAACAATCTCGTGGTACACCAAATGGATGTTAAGACCGCTTTTTTGAACGGTGATCTGGATGAAGAAATCTATATGGAACAAACAGAAGGGTTTGTTATCCCCGAACATGCCTCGAAAGTCTGTAAGTTAGACAAATCATTATATGGTTTGAAACAGGCTCCAAAACAGTGGCATGAGAAGTTTGACACTCTCGTTCTCTCACATGGCTTTAAAGTGAATGAAAGTGACAAGTGTATTTACTGCAAGTCAGAAACTAACACTTGCACTATCATATGTTTGTAAGTAGATGACATGTTGATATTTGGTACAAATATTCACGTGGTCAATGAAGCAAAAGCCATGTTGAAAGAGAGCTTTGATGTGAAAGATCTGGGAGAAGCTAAGTTTATGCTTGGAATCCAGATAACTAGAACAACAAATGGTTATTCTCTAGATCAATCTAGCTATATAGAGAAGATCTTGAAGAAATATAACTATTTCGACTGTAAACCTGCGTGTACTCCGTATGATGCTAGCGTAAAGCTATTTAAGAACACTGGAGACAGTGTAAGACAATCAGAATATGCTAGCATCATTGGCAGTCTCTGTTATGTTGCGGATTACACTAGACCAGACATTGCATATGTCGTGGGATTGCTTGGCAGGTTTAACAGCTATCCTAGTAGAGAGCATTGGAATGCTATAGAGAGGGTCATGAGATACCTCAAGAGAACAACAAACCTTGGTATACACTATCAAAGTTTTCCTGTTGTACTAGAAGGATATAGTGATGCGGATTGGAATACCCTATCAGATGACTCCAAGGCAACCAGTGGGTATGTTTTTAACATCGCTGGTGGAGCTGTGTCTTGGAAGTCAAAGAAACAAACAATCCTAGCTCGATCAACTATGGAATCAGAGATGATAGCACTAGCAACAGCTAGTGAAGAAGCAAGTTGGTTGAGAGGATTATTGTCAGAGATTCCCCTATGGGAAAGGTCGGTCCCTCTGGTATTGATCCATTGTGATAGTACCGCAGTTATCGCTAAAGTTGAGAATCGGTTCTATAATGGAAAGAAACGACAGATTCGTCGTAAGCACAGTAGTGTAAGAGAACTCCTAACGATAGGAGCAGTAAGGGTGGATCATATAAGATCCGAACAGAATCTAGCTGATCCTTTGACGAAAGGATTACCTAGAGAGTAAGTCCAGAATACCACCAAGGGTATGGGACTTATGCCTACCGAACCACGGACTACAAGTGATGGTAACCCGACCCAATAGACTGGAGATCTCAAGAAATGGGTTCAATGAGTAATAACCAGTCATGAGTAGTATGCGAAAAGTTCATGCATAGTGGAGCATGAATCCCAAAGCAATGGAGGTTGAGTTAATAACTGTTAATGAGATCTATACCCTATGTGGGGTGGAGTACTTTACTTTGGGGGTACTCCTGATAGACTCACCTATGTGAATGTGGGAGTGGGGCCGCTCTT